AATAAATAAATAAATAAATAAATAAAATAGGGCACTATCACTTTTCAAACAACTTGTTGCATTTGCATGCTGGGGACAGAGGAGAGAGCTATTTCTCTTCCACTTGCTTTCTGCACTTGATCCTCTCCTCTGGCCCACTCATGGTAGAATACCTAATTGTCCTCCCTTCTAAAATATAGGCACCACCTCTAGAGTCTATCAAAAATTGCTCATGGCTAGGAACATACCATCCTGAAACAGGCAGGTGAAGCGGTAGTTCAACCTGGAAAAAACTTGTGATACCTAAAAGATTGGTATAAGGACTTAAATGGTGGGGTCAGGATGAAATAAGGCCAGTGTCATGTGATCAAAGGGAAATTTGTCAGGGTCGTAAATGGAAGAAAGGGCCATGATTGTTGGAACGGAAATTGCAAGGGATCATGCCCATCTGCAAGTCAAGGATTAAGTGCAAAGTGTTTGGAATCAAACAATGTTGAAAACAAATCCCAGTTTGAGAAGCTTATCCTAGTCCATGCCAAACCATGTGGTTTGCCTTTTGTTAAAGTTTGAAACCTGTATGTTGAATGCCAGTTTATTTTACTAAAAGCTTTATACTTGATATCTTAGGATCGTCATCTACTTTATTCCACTCAGTCATTTCAACTAACAATAGCCTGGTATTCTTCCAGAACTGTTATTGAAAGGTATCAACTTTCACTTTTTCTACCTCCTCCTCTTCTGTTTACCCACTTAAATATTTCTTCAGTAGTGACACACAGTTAGCTTATCTTTTTTCCTCTTGATCTAAAAAACCCAAGGGAACAATACAGTTAGCAATCTCTGCACTTTTTCTAGCTGGGAATATGAGGGAAAATATTGCTATTAGTAGGATGTAGGTGGCAGCAGGTTTTTCACTTATCTGCTCATGATTCACTTATCTGCTCAAGTACACACAAGAGTAGCAAACGGTACTTTAGACCCTTGAATTGTATGGCATATGGCTTTTTTCCAGAATTATGTAATAGATGTGTTATTTTGGGGAGAAATTTAGCTGTCATGCCCAAAGCAATGGGAAAGAAAAAAATTAGCTTCCCAAACTCTGGTGTCTGAAAGCTTGCTTTGTTTTGGGGAACCAAAAGTTTTCCATTAAGAAGTTTGCCTACAGTCTTTGGTAAAAGGCACAAGTTCTTCCTGGATGTTGAAGATGTGATGGTGAGTTCAAGCTAATATATAATATAGCTCATTTTATTTATACTTTATTGTAATTGCATATGAGCAGCATTTTGCAGGGGCTGAGAATATCAAGAGAAGGGATTTGGCATTCTAGGAGGGGTTTATGGGGACAAGTAGCTGCCTGGAAACAGAACGGATGAGCCTTAGCCATTAACAGCTAACTAATAAGAATATACTGTATTACTTGGAAGAGTTCTAAGGGTAGCTTTTCTTTAGCAGAACATGAGTAAGGCTTTTAGTCTGCTTTTTAAATACATTATGAGGTAAGTTATTTGATATAAATAAGTTTATGCTTACTGATATGTATTAGACTATATTTTTATCAGTACGTTTTCTGATATTTTTATAGAGTGCACATGGTGTTTGATTTTTCGTATACAGTGGGGCAAAAAAGTATTTAGTCAGCCACCAATTGTGCAAGTTCTCCCACTTAAAAAGATGAGAGAGGCCTGTAATTTTCATCATAGGTATACCTCAACTATGAGAGACAAAATGGGGGAAATTTTTGCTCACCGTTCTTGTGATCATATTTTTGCTCACCGTTCTTGTGATCATATTTTTGCTCACCGTTCTTGTGATCATATTTTTGCTCACCGTTCTTGTGATCATATTTTTGCTCACCGTTCTTGTGATCATATTTTTGCTCACCGTTCTTGTGATCATATTTTTGCTCACCGTTCTTGTGATCATATTTTTGCTCACCGTTCTTGTGATCATATTTTTGCTCACCGTTCTTGTGATCATATTTTTGCTCACCGTTCTTGTGATCATATTTTTGCTCACCGTTCTTGTGATCATATTTTTGCTCACCGTTCTTGTGATCATATTTTTGCTCACCGTTCTTGTGATCATATTTTTGCTCACCGTTCTTGTGATCATATTTTTGCTCACCGTTCTTGTGATCATATTTTTGCTCACCGTTCTTGTGATCATATTTTTGCTCACCGTTCTTGTGATCATATTTTTGCTCACCGTTCTTGTGATCATTTTGACCTCCCCCATTTTGTCTCTCATAGTTGAGGTATACCTATGATGAAAATTACAGGCCTCTCTCATCTTTTTAAGTGGGAGAACCTGCACAATTGGTGGCTGACTAAATACTTTTTTGCCCCACTGTATGTTGAAATGCCATTTGCACTTTTTCAGAATGTCTGCTCCCCAAAGGCACCCTTTTATGTAGGTGATGTGGTTCTTTGATCCTAAAAAAATAGCTTTTCTTCTTACATAATGATTTAAATTGTAAATGGAGCTGGGAGTTCAGGGAGAAACTTAAAATAATTCTAGGAATAGAAGGTCCCAACCTCCCACCTCAAATCAGGGCAGTCTGTTCTAAGTGCAGCTCTGCTGTAACAGTAAGGTGCATATCTCAAAAACTCTTCACAGGGATTAGCAGTATTAATGAAATCACACATTGCAGAGTAAGTCAGTTCTGCCACTTCCCAGAGTTACAGTCCCTCTAATCTAAGAAAATAAATTCCTTCCTCATTCTGTATATACTGTAAGCCAATCCAAGAATCCTGTCTCAAGGGAGGAATGATAGTTCAGTAATAAAATGCAAGTTTTCCTTGGAGACAGTTCTTGGACTGAGTTATAGTAAGTCTAGCTAAAGAATTCCAAATAGCAAATCTGGGAGAAGCCTAATGTATAAACATTACTGGCTTGAGTAGACCAGTTGCAGCTTCATAGTTGTTCCAAATAATGTTAGGTTGCACTTTGCAGGATATAGATCTTCCCAAGGGAGCTTTCAGCACCACAAAAACAATCTAAGAGAAGGCTATAGAAAATAAGTGAGTTTTAGGGCAAGTTTAAAGGCCTGTAGAAAGCCCAAGATCTTCCTGTGGAATTTAACTGGCATGATCCTATTCCGCCTAGCACTTATTTTTTATTGGGTCAGTTCTGAAAAAATGAATGTAAGAAAACCCCATTTTAGCCCAGCCAATTGCTGCTGATACAGGTAGTCCTCAAGTTACAACCATTCATTTAGCAACTATTCGAAGTTATGGTAGTGCTGAATGAATGGTAATTATGCCCAGTCCCTGAAGTTACGGCCGTTGCAGTGCTCCCATGGTTATGTAATCAAAATTTGGGTGCTTGACAGCCCGCCTGCACTTACAACTGCAGGGGTGCTTCAACTCCTCTCATCTGCCTATCTCCCCCCCCCCCAATTTCTGCCCTTTTGGTTGCTCTGCACTCACTGGTCCCTGCTGGCCTTGCCACCCCCAGCTGACCTTCGCCATCTTCTTTCTGCCGCCGCTGCTGATGAGGCACGCCTGGCCTGGCCCTTCTCGAGGCAGCTCCTGGCCACGCCAGGCCTTCTTCCCAAAGCCATGCCTGTCCCTTGTCCAAATCACACATTGCCTTCTCCAAATTGCACGCAGTCTCAAGGATTAGGGCAGCAGGGCCAGCAAGCGCAGGGTGGCAGAGACAGCAGAGTACAAGGCAGCCAAAAGGCAGAATTGGTGGGATAGGCCGTCCCTTACATTACCAAGGCTCAGGGCTGGGAGGGAACAGGCCAGGAGTGGCTTGGATCGGGGTGGGTCCTTAGCTAATGATCGGTGGAATTTGGTTAATGACAGCAACCAGGACTGCTGGGATTGCCGTTGCTTAAGCGATGCAATCATGTGATGTTGTGCTTTACGACCACATTGCTTAGCAATGGAAATTCCAGTCCCAATTTCTGTCATAACTCAAGGACTACCTGTATGTCAGAGGTGCTGCTTTTCAACATAGTCCAAATCCAGGTACTTTTTCTCTTTAAAGATAAGTAACCCAGCTTGAGCTATCCTCTCCAACCAGGGAAAAGATTAGCATGCTGCAATTCACTATCTGCCCATTACCTTCCTGCCCAGAGATAGTACCACAATACTGTAGGGAGCAGGACACTGTTGAAGAGGAAGTTCTGATTTGCCATTTAGCTGCTTCTCAGAATAACAGTTGCTTCATTCTGCAGGCAAATAGTCTGTGGCAAATGGTACTTCTGCATCGGGGCAACTCCTTTGTGCCACTGTATGCACAGATACATATAGACCATACAGCAGGAGATAACGTAGCATATTGTGGTTTGGCTTACTATGTCATCTGAACCCAGAAACATGGTAACTTTGTTGTTTCCTTTTAGTTAAGGCTGTGACCTTGAATCTAAACTAATGGTTAGTTTATGGTTGAACAACCATTAGTCCTTAGGAAAACTAGTGTAGTGCAGTGATTAAGAAGTTGGATTAAGACTGGGGAGTCCCTTGTCCAAGTTCATCCTCAGACGTGGATCAGTCATATTCTCTCAGTCCAATCAGCCTTATAGGGTTGTTGTTTTGGGATAAAAATGAAGGGAAATGGCAACATAAGCCACTTTGAGCTCCTGGAGAAAAGGCGGCATCATCATCATCTATGAAGGCTGCAGAGCATATCTGCTTTTGCAGCAGCATCTCTGGAGCTCCACTTTTGTTTCTCACTTTTAATAGTGTTTAGGATGTCGTTTTTCAAGCACAGGAACTAGAGAAAGGATTAATTTCCCTTATCTTGTATGTGACAATCTTACTCAGATCATTATGGCTAGTGTTGTTTGCAAAGATAGGGGTGTGGGTATAAAACAGCCAGGTGTTGAGATATGACCAAAAAGGAGGAGAACTGGCAAACTGTATTTAGTTGCACTTCGTTGTGACATATAGGGTGTGATTATTGGGCATGTACCTTCATCATGTTTAATGCTAGGCTGGGCAAGCATAGTCATAATTAGTAAGCCAAATACCAACATTGAAAAAGTGGTTATAAAAATTTTAGTATTCCACATGCTTGCAAATTAATTATTTGAAGTCCAAAAGGGACTGGGGGAAAGACTTTATAGAGTTTTCCTTCTTGAAGTTTTTGGCTATTCTTACTTGCCACATATTAACCTGGAAAATAACAATTCAGCAAGTAAATTCTAAACCTGAGATGTAATCTTACAAGACACTTCATATTAAAATGATCTTTCAATACAGAGATTCCACTTACTATATTTGATAAATAACATCAGTTTCAAGTTTTAGCTAGTTGGTCTCACTTCATGGAAAATCTAGGCTTTTGATCTTAGTGAGCTAATGATTACTTACAAAATGATGATGAAGTACTAGTTTAGACTTGTGCCAGATGGAACTGCAAATGAACCACACTCCAACCGGAGTTATTCCTTTATTTGTAATGTGAGGCAATAGATATTTTATTGGGCATTTTGTATTTGTAGGGAAGGTAAGTTGGGATACTGTACTTAAGGAACGTTGCAAAACCTGAGTGGCCTTATGTTAGGCCAGTGTTTCTCAACCTCAGCAACTTTAAGATGTGTGGACTTCAACTCCCAGAATTCCCCAGCCAGCAAGAAGTCCACACATCTTAAAGTTGCTGAAGTTAAAAAACACAGTAAGAAGATCTTACTGATGGCTTTGTTCCGTTGTTTGTAGGAGTTCTGGAAGAAGCTCGGGGAGCTAGGAGTTCTGGGAGTAACTGTTCCAGGTAAGTATATGCATTGAACAAGCTTTTGTGGCCTGTGGATTTGTTATATGTGACTACGTGGATGTGTAGAGGTTAATTCATTTAATCATAAATCTTTCTCTTCCACCCTTCCATTCCCCAATTCCTTCTAGTTGAATGTGGTGGATCAGGGATGGGCTATCTGGACCATGTACTGATAATGGAAGAAATATCTCGGGTTTCAGCAGCAGTTGCATTAAGCTACGGTGCTCACTCAAATCTGTGCATCAATCAGTTAGTGAGGAATGGCAACGAAGCACAAAAGGAGAAATATTTGCCCAAGGTTTGTAGAAATAAACCTGTTATATCAGTAGAACAAGATGCATGCAACAACTTGAATTAGATTTATTCGTTTTGTTTTAGAATACAGATTTTGCCTCAGTTGTTTCATTTAACTTTATATACTGTATTTCATTTATGTATGTATTGTATGAAAAAAATCAATTTAAAAACATCTGGACTAAAAGCCTTTTTCAACTTTCATGTCTGATTTGTTGCTACACATAAATGAGAAAAAAAGAAAACAATCTTAAATCTGCAAGGCATAGAACTCCCTCTAGGTTTGAGAGAGCCTGTTTATCAGTGAGTTTAGGATTGGTATCTTACATACAGTATTTAGGCAGCAGATCTATACACCCTTGCCTGGAGTAAGCTCCACTGAACTTAGTAGGACTTAATTGTGAGTGAACATCTATAGGAGAGCCCTGCTTTTGTTGAACTAAACTGCAGCACATGCATAAAGGAGAAGTTGGAAAATTCAGAGTTTTAAGCACATCCCTTCCCTTGAAAGTATAATATTCTTTTAAAATATAATCTTCCCTCCCCTCATCTGGTTGTCTCTCATCGCTGGTTTATAGATCTATTGGTCACTTGGCAAATGATCCATCACGGAGCAAGTGCAGTTGGTGCTTCATACTTCATATTGTCTCTCTTCACCTTGAATGGAGTCTTTTCCATGAACTCAGTTCATATACCCAATTGTCGGTCTTTAAGTGGTGTCCAGATGTTTGTGAGCTTGCTCTGTATGCTTCTCCAGGAGCAGAAGCTAGTATTTCTACCTGTAATAATCAAACAAATCCACTGCAGACCCCTGTAGTGCTCCCTCATTTGCTTTAGTGCAAGCTGAACACTTGGCAAGGTTTTGAATTGCACTTCCCACACAAGGTATTGATCGGGCTACCTCCAAGTTTGTTTTCTGCCATGGCTAGCCTGCAGTGTAATGATGAAGAGAAGGTATTTGATATCCATAGGCGACTGCTGCAGACTGGAAGGGACAGGCTCCCAAAGCCCCTGGAAGCCACCTTCTATTGTGCAAGGCCATCAAGAAAACAATGCAACCCTTCTAGGCTATTTCATCCGTTCATTAATATTTTGGTACTGGAAGATACTTCTTTTCTCTTTTACCATGCTAAATTTCCAATATGAGTGTATTTTTTAAAACAGTATTCTATATCGTAAGCAATATGTTTCCAAATGGTATCTTTAAAAATGAAGAGTGTGGGACATGTGATTTTTAAAAAGAGTGAGCAAGAGGGCAGTGCTAAACAAAAAGTTCTTGCTTTGACTGCTGCTCTTTAATGGTTCCTTGGAGACGTAATGGCAGCCAGTTGTAGCTTCTGGGTAGTCTTCAGGGGCAGCCCATGTAGAGCCAGTTGCAGTAGTCCAAGTGTGAGAACGGTGAAGTTCATTTCTCAGGCCTTAGGTCAAGAATGCAAGTTTTTGGAGACCAAAAACCTTGCTTGGTTTTGAGGTTTGTGTCAAGGGCCTTTACTCCTATATATGTCAATTGTGTTTTTTGTGGTTCATGTGGTTCATAGGTTTTTTCCCCCCCACTTTTATTGTTTTCTACTGTTTTTAAAGTATAATCCACCTAGAGTCACTTCAGAGTTGGGTGGCCTCTAAATAAAATCAATAAATGGGTGTGAGCACAACAAAAACTTGATTTGATTTGATTTTTAATTTAACATTAAAATTTCCCCTAACATATTAAATATTTCCATTTGGTGGCAACTTTGAAGATGCCCCTAAGAATCTGCCTTAGATGTTACTGGCCCTTCTGCTCTTTGTGATCTGATCTCATCATTTTCAAAACTGGGTTGAGCTACAATTACGACTTGAAATTGGATCTAACCTTTGCAGTGAGGGTCTTCTACCTGTGTTCTGTTGTGCTTATGCACTTATGAAACCATCCATACAGTTCTGAGGTAGCTATGAGATAGAATTCTAGACGTTGCTCTTAACTCATCAGAAAGGACAGTTCACAGTTCTAATGTGTATGCTGCCTACAGGAAAACTCGAAGAAGACGACAGCTTTTCCCTTCCTTATTTAGAGGATAAAAGAATGAATTTCTGATATGAAGAGGCTTTTGACTTGATTAGTCTCCTTACCCCTCAGTGCTCGTCACTGATACTGCAGTGAGATGACTGCAATGACTGCCCAATTGATGTGAAAGTGAAATATCTTCCATTTGCACCATGACATTTGTCACTTGGAATAGGGGTATAATTTTTATTTTTATTTAAATAACCTTCTCCAAGTCAGCACCATTATTGCAAGATATCATTTCATTAAAAACAACCTTGCAGTAAATAGGTAAGTGTCAGCACTGATGGACTAACAATGGTTTAAATACAAAGCAAATAAGGAAGGATGACAGTTTTCCTGTGGTTGATTTGGTGATATTTAAAAGAAAATATGCTCTGACAGTTAAAATTTCGTAGTTGTTTTCCATTTATTGAACCCTGGGCTGGAATGTTAAGGTAGAGCCCAATTTCTGCATTCTGATTCTATGAAGCAAATCTTATCTTGTATTACCCTCTCTCCAATTAGTGAAATTATTTTCATCCATAATGCTGTTAAATAGTGGGTAAAATTGCATAGTTTATCTATTTCATTCTTCTTGAGAAATGTACAAGTTTACAAAGCATTTCACTGTCTTAAATTGAAAGCTTGAAGCGATATTAATCTACAGAAAGGTAATCAGATTGTTTCACAGATTTCAGCATACTGAACATACTTGGAAAAAGAATAGGTCTAAATATGAGGGAGTGGGGAAGAGAAAAAGGACAGAAAGCAAGGGATGAGAGTGCTGTTGTGCCAGGGTGGCATAAGTGAGCACTATTCTATTATGTAGGTTAAGGAGTATTTCAGTTTTAACTCTCTGACCCTTTTTGGTCCTGTTTTCAAAAGGCAGTAAGGGAGAGGACGTCAAGGATATGTAAACTACTAACATTTTTGTCTTGGCCCCATCTCCTAGCTGTAAAGTCCATTCTGAACAACATTTCATTGCTCATTTGCTATATTTTACAGAGCTATACTTCCTTGTTTTCATATTATGGTTTGCAGTGTTACTGGTAAAGCTATTTGAAGAATTCTGCCAGTTGTAACGCTTACCATTTGCAGTTCCCCAAAGCATGAAAACCAGATTCTTGTGAACTTTTTATAAATAAAAAAACAGTAATGATTGCAGCAAAATATATTTCCTTTTCATCTTTCTTGTTCTCCCAGTTGATTAGTGGAGAGCATATTGGAGCACTAGCGATGAGTGAAGCCAATGCTGGTTCTGATGTTGTCTCTATGAAGCTGAGGGCAGACAAAAAAGGTAAAAATTATTGTGGATATGATGGAAAAATATTTGTAAAAGATATCCAATGCCCCCTGGACCTCAACTTTAACACATTAAGCTTTCCTAGATATTCTGTTGTGTCCACACATTATCAATACTAGTTCTGATGTATGTCTGAGCATCCTCCAAGCCAAAGGGATGGAGAACAAATAATGCTGAAGCAAAGTACAGGTGAACAAAAGAGGCTGATGAGTTGCCACAGGTGGGGATATAGCAATTCTGTCTAAAGCAACTGTTGCTAGGATCAATGCAGCTCACTATGTCACTGTTATCCAACCTGGATCTTTATTGCCCTACCCTCAATTTCTCCATTTTTACTGTTAGTCCCATCAATCAACTTGCATCCAAGGTTATTGATTGTGAGTGGGGAAATGTGCCCATGATTTCCCTTTTCTGCAGCTGTCCCCTGTGCCTATTCCATTCTCTTTAAATAGCTCCATCAAGTTTCAAGCTTTGGGTACAAAGTAGGAGAAGCCAGGAAATCCTCATTACTGAGGTAGAATTCCATATGCCCTCTTCTGGACTCAACACCCCCCTCCCCACATTTTTTAGTCATCCTTGCAGTACTATAGAAGGATCATGAAGTTCATATAGCCCCATCAACTTTGAAAGATATTGCATCCCCCCACATTTTTTAGTCATCCTTGCAGTACTATAGAAGGATCATGAAGTTCATATAGCCCCATCAACTTTGAAAGATATTGCATCCATCCAGTGTATATGGATATTTAGAATATTTTTTATGTCTTTCTGATAATCACACTTGCTTTCTATTACTTCAGATTTGAGGACTGGGTTTACCATGGGTTTGCTGAAAGGCAGGCATGAGAACACCAGTTTCTGATTGTTTCAACAATTTTAAGCTGAAATTGTGTGGAGGAGATGAGTTGAACAATAAAATATTGAATAGATATATGAATGAATCATAATGTCACACTATTTAAGATACACTGACCTGTGGGCCAGTCCTTCTAGTTGACTAATCCTTTGAAGAATTGTGTTGTATATGTAGGACAGCTCTGCTCTTTTTTCAAGGGAACTGGCTAATTATGGAAAGAGCCAGCTACAGAGCTAATTGATACATATATAGTGATTCTCTGTATCTAACTATAAAAATGATATAGTGAACATAGACATAAAAGCAAACCTGTGTCCAGAATTTGAGAAGAAACACTCATGGAAATTTCAATTGTCTTGGGGAGTATAAGATTGACTTCAAGTGTTTTGTGAATCAGAGAACTAAGCAGTCCATCCTTCCTTTCCAGGGGATTATTTTGTTCTGAATGGAAACAAATTTTGGATTACTAATGGGCCAGATGCTGATGTTCTAATTGTTTATGCTAAAACAGATTCCAATGCTGTTCCAGCTTCTCGCGGTATAACAGCATTCATTGTGGAAAAGGTAGGTTTCCAGAGTTGTGAAACACTCTGGCTTTCTTATCCCTTGTAAGAATATTTTACAGATAGTCCCTTTTTTACCATCTTTTTTACCATCTGCTTTATTGTTGAACACTGGGCTTCAGAGGTGCTGGGGTGGGGGGGTTACAGTAGAGTGGCAAACGACTATGGACACACACACCCCGCAGAGGCCTTTCTGCCTTCTCTCCTGTAGCCCTGAGGAGAAAAATGCGCTACGGCTTCCATTTAATAGTGAAGTGCCTGAGAGTTGGACTGTGGGTTTCCCATTGTGAACTGAGCATTGATCCCTTCCTCTTTTCCTCGCCTCTGGGTGAGAGCCAGAGTGGATTTGGTGAGGGGTGAATGGGATGGGAGCCTCTGCTAGCTGGTGGGAGCAACAGGTGGAGGTGCCTTGGATGTTGTGGTGTGTGAGTGTTTGTGAATGTCAGCCTTCCCAGGTAAACCATATGGGAAACATGACTAGATGAGCTAATTCTACTTTATTATAAGGCTACATTAACAGAATCTTGCAAGTCTGAAAGTACAAATCTCCCGCTCTCCCTATTTATTGCCTGAGTAGTTAAGGTGAGTCCTTCCTAAGTTTCTTTTTCTGTCTGTTACTCTGTTGCAGGCTCCTTTCTCTTTTATCTGATCATTCCCTAGGCGGCATCTCTTCCCCCCATCTTCCAAGGTCACCCTCACATTCCATCACAGTGAACGTGTGGATTCCTTCCTTCCTCTGGGTTAAAGTCAGAGGAGGAAAAGACGGAGGGTGAATGGGAAGAGTGCCCTCTACCTGGCTGGCATGAGAGGGCACCTTGATGAGAGGGTTGACCTGGCATGTATCACCGAGACCTGGCTGGATCCAGAAGGGGGAATTGCCCTTTCGGAATTATGCCCAATTGGGTTTCAGGTGTGGCATCAATTGAGATCCTGGGGCAGGGGTGGAGATCATCCGGGAATCTCTTACAGCCTTCAGGAGCACTGCACCACAGGTCACCTGATGTGAGACCGTGTTCATTAAGTTGGGCTCTAGGGATCAGTTGGGATTGCTGCTGTTGTACCACCTCCCTGCTGCACAGCAACTTCCCTGCCTGAGCTCCTTGACTCCATTTCTGGGCTGGCAGTGGAGGTCCCCAGACTTATGGAGTGGGGCCTGAGGTGGCCCAGGAGTTCATGGCCACCATGACGGCCGTGGGCCTATCCCACATCATCCAGAACCCGACATGGGACAATGGTCACAAACCTGATCTGGTGTTTCTGTCAGAGCAGTGGCTGTGTGATCTCAGATTGGGGGAGCTTTTGGTGTCCCCTTTGTCATGGTCAGATCATGCTCTGATTATCATGGGATTCTCTACCACCATTATCCACTGCAGGGAGGCTGGACCCATTAGATTGGTCCAGCCCAGGTGACTAATGGACCTGGATGGGTTCCAGAGGGAGCTGGGGGTTGTTCCTGTTGGTCTGCTGTATGGTCCATCTGAAGTCCTGGTTGCCACTTGGAATAAAGAGGCGGCTGAGGCTTTGGATCGGATCACACCCATACAACCTTTCCCCTCTTGAGGATCCCAGCACTCCCTGTGGTTTGCAGAGGAGCTGATGGACTTGAAGTGAGAAGAGACATCTAGGGTGTCACTGGCACTCAACAAGAGACAAACATGACTGAACATGATGAACTAATAAGGCCTACCTTGTGACGGTATGAGCGGCAAAGAGTAATTACTCCTCCGCTCTTATTGTATCCGCAGATAGCCTTCTCTGCCGTGGCACCTGCCTTGTGGAATCTTCTCCCCCCAGAAGTGAGATTAGCTCCATCCCTCTTAATATTCCACAAGTCCCTCAAGAGCTCACTATGTGATCAGACCTGGGGGTCCCAGGGGACTGGGGAGATCTTGCAATGGCTCCCTTACTGTTGTTAACATCATCCTCTCTTGTTCCATGTGCTTTTTTATAGTTTTTATAGTTTTAATCATGGCTGTTTTATATGTATTTATTGGTTTTCTTAATTGAGTGTTGCTATACACCGCCCAGAGTCATTTTTTGTGACATGGCTGGATCTACAAATATGATAATAAATTAATAAATACATTAGTTAAGACCTTAAAATCAGCAGATTTACCTTGTGGTGTTTAACTTCAGTGGGCTCAAGGAAGTTCTTCTCTGAGTTTCTGAACTGCAACAACATATCCTACATGATGATGTGAGAAAAGGCTTAAACCTATTTGGTGGTATTCTCATTTTAAAATAAATTTACAGTCATTCCCATGTTCATCTTCTGATTGTGTAAAGTCCTGTGATAAGAATTATGTTGTCATATTTGATAGGAAACTCTTATTAGAGGGATTCAGTCATGATGACTTTCTATACACATATATTCTGTGTTTCATATTTATTGAATCTCCCTGAAGCCTCAGCCAACTTTATATTGTAAACAGTTTAATAACTAGTAAGAAAAAAAGAAATCAATAACTATCCCCACCTAAACAATTAAATATTTCAACAGTTGCGAAATAATGACAGTTTAAGGGCAGCAGATTAAATATGGGAAGTCAGTTTACCAAATCTACCAAAAAGAGAGAAGGCCACATGAATAGAATACGCTATACCTGTAAATCCACATGATTATGCATAGGCTGAGTCTGTGGTTCCTCTTTTATTTCCAGTTTTTGGGACAATTGTACTTGGCTGTCTTAACTGCTGTCACCTTAAGAAATGTGGAAGAGGAAAAGGTTGAATGCATGTTCTTAAAAATATTTTGTTGTGCACTTTTTTTTTAAATTAGAAAAGATCTAGCATCAAATGAGAGGAGGCAAGCTTATGGAATGGTACATCAGAAATCAGGAATCTGGAGCAAGGTTCCTTCATTTAATATCAGACCCATGAGACACAGCCCACAGTCTTTATAGTTCCAAATCTCACCCTTCAGAAAAGGTTTTTTAGTGGGGAGAGGTGGCTGTGCAGGATAACAAGGGAAGGAAAAAGTCTGCTGCATGAGCTGTCTTCTCGCACAGGGTTGGATTTCACTCACTAGAAAGCAGACAACCATTATAAACATCTCATGAAAATCTGACAGGTTAACTCCCTGCCAGATAAAAGCATAATTACTGCTTTTCACTCAAATTGTATGACAACCCTAATTTATTTAGAGGGCTAGGTTACCCTGGGGTTTGGGGCAAGGGTGGGGAGAAATTAGCTCACAGCTAAACTTGTTTTAGCTTTACATTAAGAATTCTGCACATAGATGTTGATTTGTGATCCCTGTTTGATTTGCTATCTCTGTAGACTGTTAGACATCTTTCTTTAGACAGATGATGCCATTGATACACTTTGCATGAGTCATTTCTATGCGATTAGCTCCTATTCAGTACAGACTCTTCAGTTGGAGCCTTTAAGGATTGTGATTTATTTTGACTTCTAATGGAAGAGGGTTTCCCTGTGCATTTTCTACCTCTTTTCTTCAGAATATGCCTGGTTTCAGCACAGCACAAAAACTGGATAAACTGGGAATGAGAGGGTCAAATACCTGTGAATTAATCTTCGAAGACTGCAAGATTCCTGGTGAGTGACACAGTAGTGTGCTACTTTCAGCTGTACATAACAACTCCTCTCTTTCTCTCTCCTTATGTTTGTCTTTCTGAATGTTAATTAAAATATTCAAAAATTGAAAAAAATCAAGTCAAAAATTGTCTGATTATATCCCTTTTTTCTCCTGAATCTCATCTTCCCGCCATCATTTCCCTCCTCCTCCTCTCTCTTCTAAAAACAATGGTTTGCTTAAACAGACTCCTTCAAGACATGTTACTCACCCAGCAATGATTTATTGTCATTTAAGGTAACACTGGACACTCTACAGTTTATTTATGGCCATTCTAGTAATTTTGTCTGCTCCTGACTTTCATAGCGGTCCTGCCTATTCCCATCCCCATTTCCTTGCCCTCCTATTCCTCCAGGTATGCATAAAATCTCTCTCATGAGGGTTGCCTCCATCTACCTGATGAAATTAATGTGCTCCACTAAGCTTATGTCTGAGTAAATTTTAAAAGTGTTAATAATTAAGGTGCCGCCAGCCCCTTTATGTTTATGTTAAAAACATTCAGTAGAACAGTTTGTGGTTAATATCAGCAATTTTATCTCAGTGACTATTTGACATAGGATACAAGATTACAATTTCCTGTATTTGATTTCAGTGGAAGAAAAGAAATATCTTTCATCTGGTTTTCTCTGTGGATCCGTTCTTTCCCACATTTACTCATGGTATATGTTGTTGTTGAGGAACTGCAGAAGAAACCATTTTTACACTCCTGAAAATGCAATTTTCAGATTTTATTGGCAGTAAAGTGGATGCCCCGGTTCTCTCTTTTTAGGTAGAATTCAGGACTTGTCGTTTCTTTTTGTGAAAATAAACCTCCATTTCCTCAGCTCAGTAGAAGAGAACAGCAGTACTACTAAATGCCAGTGTTCTTGTTAAGCTTCCCTGATCTCCAGGGTCACTTCTGTAGTTGTCCAATATTGAGCTGTTCCAGTAATTTCCTGAGCTTTCAGAGTTCTTTCACTTGGATCAAAGTGTATTTTAGTAATACAACTCTGTCAGCCGTACAAGTTCATGGCTTTGTGTCACTTGTACTCTAGTGGGTGTAACACAGGTTCATTTGATTCCAAGCAGCATCCACAGAATTATATTATTAGGCCATATAGCAAAGGCCAAAAGTAAATTCAAAAGGCTCATCTTGTATGCTGCTGGAGGCATATTTATTCAAGGTTATTCTCTGAGATACACTCAGGGAATTAAGACACTGCTCTTTTTCTGCATTGCACAAAGAATGCATCCACTCCATGTACAGTAATTGCATTATCTACAGTTTGCAACTGCTTTTTACTTATGCGGGGGATGGGGGGAAGAAAACATCTAAGTTAGGCAAACAGATATATATATACATACACACACACACACACAGTGCTGGGCAAAAGTTTTAGGCAGGTGTGAAAAAATGCTGTAAAGTAAGAATGCTTTCCAAAAATATATTGTAATTGTTTATGTTTATCAATTTACAAACTGCAAAGTGAGCAAACAGAAGGGAAATCCAAATCAATATTTGCTGTGACCACCCTTTGCCTTCAAAACAGCATCAATTCTTCTAGGTACATTTGCACACAGTTTTGAAGGAACTCAGT